CCAAAGAGACCTGAACTGGTTCCCAGCCTCAACCCATCGAGGGTTGCTGCTGACTTTGCTCTGCTGGCTGGTGCTGGGGGAACTGGAAGTCCTTAGTCCTGCCCCTGAAGAAGCATGCTTCTCTCTTTTCTACACATGACTTCTCGCACCAGCACCTTAGAAAACTGATCTCATGGAGGGTGTCCAGCTTGTTACCACCCAACACGGCACAGGGAAACATCTGTTCTGAAGTGCTGGTGGCTCTATGAGACAATTCCATGCTCATTTATCTTGCTTTTTGTGAGATTATGATCTTTTTCTCCTTTCATCTTTTTAAAGGAAATGGTTTGTTTGAAGATAAAAAGTGTTTCCATCCATCCATCCATCCATCCATCCATCCATCCATCCATCCATCCATCCATCCATCTTTACTTATATCCAGACGCAAACTGTTCCTTAAAACATGAAATGCAGTTTTTCCAAGTTCAATATGAAGAAATGAAAGCCAAGCTTACTAAAGAATTCCCTTGAATTCACACTCCAGTTAGAAATGTCTTTGAGACAATGCCACGCTTCCTGGTCCTTAGTTTAGTTCTGTTTGGTGCCAATTATCCCCCCTCCCCGCCCATAAGGAATTAAGCAGGTCTGGGTTTGGGTAGACATTAATACAATTAGGGGAGAGAATAGAGGTTGGCTTAGGATATGGGCAGCTGTTGGCCAAAGCTGGGGAATGTTGACAAAAGAGATGGGCCCAGCATCTGCTCAGAGACCTTATTTCCCTGGGCATGAGATGAATCAAGCTTCCATGGGCACCGAGGCTCTAGACTTTCTTATTCAGCTGCCAGGGGCATGGAAGAAGGCCCACATGTGTGCCGCATTGGCTCCAGCACCTCTGTCCTGAAGACTTGTGTGCCAACAACTGTCATCGTCTGGAGCCAGATGACATTTGACTGGAAAGCTTATGAGCTCTGTGCCCTGGAGACACTGCTAATATCCTCCTGATGAGGCATATGGCACATCAAACACTGTACCACAGGGGAAGGAACCTGGGACACAGACAATGAGACGTGGGGGTGGTAATGAAGACCCAGGCCCAGGCACTGGGGGCCTTAGGCTTCTAGTTTACAGGGATAATCCCTAAACCCAAACATACCACACAAGCAAATGTCAGTAGTAGCTCTCCTCATGGAGGGCCATGGTCCTGTCCTGTGCAGGCTGGTGTTAGCAGTCTATGGCTGGAGAGCTAGTGTGTCCCTTAGGCGGCAGACAGATAATGCCATAGGCCCATGTTGCTTTTAGAGACTCATGAGAAAGGCCTTAGTGTTTTTTGTTGTTGTCGTTTTGTTTTTTGTTCTAGTTTTGCAACAGGAGGAAAAAAAGAGTTTACAGCTCATTTTTGACCTAAAAATGGTGCCTTTTCTGGGTGGCTCTTTGATTTTTCTGATGCTACTATAGGTACTTACACACTAAGTCCTGTCTATGTGTCTGGGGCTATCATAGGCGTTAGACTGGCATTAATTCTCCAAATTCTCAGAGCACTTTTGTGAGAGAATGTCCTTCTTCAGAGGAGGAATTGGCCACAGAGAGGTAAAGTGATGTGTCTTTGAGGAAGAGGCATCGCTGGGCCATGAACCCAGGCACTGGCATCTACCCAGCTGCCTGCCTATCAACCCAGAAGAGGCAAGTGCAAGCAATACCCACAGGTCCACAGGGGGCAGAGGAGCTGCTTCTGGTCAGGTGCTATGTTCTTCCCATCAGGACCTTCAGTGACAGTCTCCTTGTCCCTGAATGTCCTCCATGTCCTGAGTGGATCACTTCTGGATGTCCAGTCCAGTCCTCCTCTGTCCCCCTTCCAGAGATTTGATCTCTTTTTTTATAAATCAAGTTCCCCTCCAAAGAGAGGCACACGGCATGCACTTTGCATATGCTCCACACCTGACCTTGGGGAAGCGGGTAAAGATGAAGTCAAAAGTGCCTCAGTGCCAACAGGGAAATGAGAGCCTCAGAGAGTGAGCATGCGTGCATCTGAGCCAGAAAGAAGGCACAGGGAAGGAGCCTGGTGCTGCAGGACTTCAAGACTCAGGGCAGAGAGGCCAGAACACAATGCAGGGTGGATGGTGACAGGAAACCAGGGCAAGATCAGAGTTCGTCCTGTCCTAGGTGTGTTGGGACATCAGCTAGATTCTGTGGGGTGATAACATGTTCCTGGTGGAAAGCACACATTCTCCCTAAAGCTATGGACCAAAGACCAAATTGGAAGAAGCAATGGATAGAAATCTGCCTAATGTGGCTTGCAGCTTCCTGCTGCTGTGAAAAATACCTGAGGTAAGTCAACCCACGGGAGGGCAACGTGAGTTTGGCACACAGTTTCTGAGGGCAGTGGCTGTTGTCTGGGTAGTGGTGAGTTGGCTCATTATGCCAGATGTGTGTGGTGGCAGAGACGCTTACTTTCTGATGGCCAGGAAGTGGGGGTGGAGTGGGGGTGCATGGCTTTGTATACCTTTTATGGGTGCTCTCCTAATGACTGCTTCCTTCAATGAGACCTTATCCCCAAAAGCTTTCACCTCGCAGTAGCAGCATCAGGAGAGGACCAAGTCTACAGAATAAGTGCATTTAGGGCCACTGAAGGCCACACCATAAACCCAGCTAAGTACGGTCTTCACGGCTCTAGTCTACACACTTTGCCATGTACCTAACTTGTACTGGGAGACTGCCTCTGACCTGAGTACACTATGCATCACACTGAAGATGCATCCCACAAATGTTTAGTGAGCATCCCCTATGCAAAAGCTGCCTTTAGACCCCAAGGATGTGACCATGGACGAAACACATCAGAATCTCTGTCTCTCATGACACCCACAGCTGTCACTTGAAAATTCTTTAACAACTTGGAAAACCAAAAACTGATGAAATGGTCAGTAATCCTGTCTAAAAGTTTTTCTTTGGGTAAACAGAGGAGGATATTGTCTCAGAGAGGTGAAGGGACTTGCTCAATGACACACAGCATTCCTTCTCGCCCTTCAGTCTCTTCCTATCTCCCCCAAATCTGTTTATTACATTTCCCACTAAACTTTTAAAGATCTACTAAACATAAAAATCAATATACTTTTTATTTTATGCTATAGCTTTTATAAAATTAGAAAAATGTTTCACAGAAAGAACCATGTTTTTTTCTCCCCCAAACCTGGAGCTCTCCAAGAAGAGGCTGAGGAAAGAATTCAAAGGCAGCTGCGTGCAGAAACCTGCCTGCTGCACTTGCTTCTCTTCCTGCTGCTATGGCGCATTTCACCCGGTTACATTACAATAATGTCATCTTCACAGTCTGCACTCAGGACCCATGTGTCCCCAACCGTCACTCGCCAATGCGGGAGTTCCACTACACGTGCTGATGTCACCGGCTTACTATGGGGGCCAGTGTATGCAACACTGGAAAACTGCATTCCTGGAAGCCATGACTGCAGGACAGAGCCCCGAGGCCTGGAGAAATGACAGCATTGATGGTGGAGGGACAGAGTCTGTGTTGTTTGTGTCCTTATCATACCCATGATTCATAGCTAATGTGTGTTTATGTGAAGTTGGCCAAATCAGTGCCCCATGATGGTCATAAAATGGAAAAGATCTCTTTTTGTGTGTGTGGTTTATTTTCTCTGCCAACTATTGTAGCCATTTCCCTTCTGACATTCTCTGGGTTAGAGGTTTTTGTCATATATCATCAGTCTCAGCATATCTTTTGGACCTGGTTCACAACACAGTATCTAAAATTGCTGATTATTTTTAACTGATAAATTACACATTTGGTGATCTGAGTGACAAGTTCTATATTCTGTGGTGCTGATGTGCCCAGATTTTTTTTTTTTTTAAGAATGGGAAATTCTGTGAGTGACAAACTCTGTGGTCTTGATATCTTGGTGGGTGATTTCGGATGACTCTCAGCACCTTTAGTCAATACTTTAAGAACTTTGCTGAGAACCAAGGTACATAAAATGCTGGCTACAAAGACTGCCACCTGCCCGCGGCTATTAAGTGTATGTGGCGAAGCACTCCCTTTTGGAACTCAGGACAATGCTTCTCTGGCCTCCTTGCTGTGAAAAGCAAGAGGAAGACCAAGGCCAGGAGTGTTCAAGTGTCAGCTACTGTAGGAACACACAGGAGGCAGCACTGAGATTCTGCTGGGTTGTCACGGGATGACAGCTTGCCTGTACCTGCACTTAAACAGCCACCATCCTGAGATGCACTCCTCACACCACAGTCTCCTACTGTGACACACGGAACTCACCAATGGTAAGAAGATTTCACCAGAGACATCATGGGGAAGCGGAGGAGGAGATTCCCACAGCCATACCCAGTGGTCTTCCCTGTCAGAAACACTTGTTCCTCCATGGAGCGTGTGTTTGCCCCTGGGATCCTTAGATCTGACTCCCAGACTCCAGAGCACCGGGTGTCTTGACTTCATGTACTTCCCTTGGGAATTCCTGCGTGGTCTCCCACTCAGGGCTTCGCAGAGTCCCCCCACCCCCACCCCAACATCATCTTTCTACTCAATGGTCAGTCAATACATTCTTTGTAGGTTCCCCTTTGAAAGCTGCAGGGCATTTGACTAACAACTGCTTCCCTTGTCCCCTGTCCTGTCCACAGTCAGTTAAACCCCTTGCTTTCCTCTGGTTGCTATAATACTGATGAGCTGTTGGAGTTAGGAAACTGGGACCATGTGAAGTCAGTCCCTCGTTTGGAACAAACAACAGTGGGACCCAGAGGAAAGGCCTCAGGCTATCGTCTACAGAGGAGACAGACCCATAGCTACAAACAGGCATCTTTTCCAATCCAGTTTTCACCAGTTACATTAAGTCTAGGGCACAAATGAATTGAGAGGCTTTCAGACTTAGTGGAGCCCCAAAGGGTCCATTAAAAGGGAACTCGGGAGTTCATCTAGAATGATGGGCTGAGGGGAACCTTCCCTGTGGCCATGGTCTCTGTGTCCTAAAACACAGCCGCAGACAGGTACTGAGATCATGAACACTCACCTGATGGGTATGATTTCCAGGAACATACACAGACTTAAACTGTCTCATGAGAGTCCTAGCTCTGGCAATCTCCTGGAGAGACGTGAAGACATCATTCACAGCGTTTTGGGATTTGGGAAATGTCAGGTTAATTGCAGAGTCACAGCCTGAAACAGTCCAGAGATATTTTCGTAAGTGAGCAAATCCTTAAATTAAGTTTGCTCGTGACAGCTTGAGTTCAATATAACAGCCTGGAATGCCTTCAACCTTATTTCGCTCTTGCTGCTCACGAACATGAATAATGGGACACGATGGGCGTGAACGTTTTTGACAGAAGTGGGCTTCGGAATCGCCTGGCACCACAGCCACTGGCCTCAGTCACCAGACTGCAGAGGCTTCACGGAGGACAGGCTCCCAAGGGGCTTGGATTCCTAGACACTGGAAACCAAGAGGAACCCAAGGAAAATGGACGAGAGCTCTGTGATGAAACCTTCGTCTGGACAGTTTCCAGAAGGTCTGACAGCAAGATGAAGAAAGGTAACAAAGCCACACCAAGAGTGGAACTAGCCGGGACGGACACGTTCAAAGCGGTTGAATGTGCTAATCCAGGTGCCGGGACCATTTAAAGGGGAGCAGCCTAAGCTAATAAAAAATGCAAAGGCGGCAGCCACTCGCTGATGACTACTCTGCCGCTATGTATCCACTCAGAAGAGAAGTAATCAAGGATGAGAGAGAAGTTAACAAGACGTGATACACTGAGAACATTCATCCTTAGTTCACAGATACACCAGATGGGTCAACTCATCACCTCTCATGTGACCCCTGAGGTCACAGGTACAATTTCTCCCCTTTAGTACATAAGGACATTGAGATGCAGGTTTGGGTTCTCCTGTGACTAGGCACTGCCATGGCCTTGCTATGCCCAGTCAGTCATCCAGGCCCGTGTGCTCTGCTGTCCATCTGAACATGTGCCAGCCCGCCCGCCCCCCACCCTCACCCCCCCAACCCCCACCTGCCTGTCTCTGTCTTGTCCTGTCTGGGCTTTCTCTGGTTGTAGCAGTTTGTTGGGCCTTCATGTGGACAGGTTAGCAGCGCTGGGCACTATATATTCACAGAAACAACCCCTGTTTTCTCTTCCCCCATGGGGATAATTCTGAGTGATGGCCTCCACTGCCATTCTGAGGGGGCTCAGCAGGCATGAGCCCCAGCTGCCCCTCAAGAATTTGTTCATTAATGTTGTCTTCCTTTCTTCACCAGAGTGGTCAATGATCAGACACAGGCAGCCCGGCTCACACCCTGACCTCGTCTGTAACTTTACTGACATGTAATTCACATACCATGCAATTCCACTTAAAGTGTCCACAACACAGTAGCTTTCTGTATATTCACAGACTCACACAACCATTAGACAACAGTCGAGTTCTGAACACCCATCTCACCCCAACAGGGAACCCTAAATCTGTCATAAGATTCCTCCCCTTGAATCCACCAGTCTGCCTTCTGACCCTGTGGATTCACTGACAGGACATTTCATATAAGCAGACCATAGAATGACCGGCTTTTTGCAGTTGACTTCCTGTATCTGCCTTGTTTTCAGGGTTCATTCAGGCTGCGGTACACACCAACACTTCATCGCTTCTTTTTACTGCATGGTTACAGTGCATTCTACTGTATCAGTGTACTCCATTCCATGTGTCTGCACAGGTATCCAGAACACCCACGGTAGGAAACTTTAGAGAGAAAATAAAGTTTCTCGGTTGGCAGGCACTTGGGATGTCTGTGTCTCAGTTATCACGCTAATGCTGGTGGTTCTGCATGGACAAGCTTTGGTGTGGACACACACTTTCATTTCTCCTGTGTGCACTGACTGGCAGCTCTGTGTTAATTGTTTGAAGAACGCCAGATCCACAGTGCGTCCCAGATGACTCACTACTGAGGGTTTCAGTTTCTCTATATCTTTGTCAACATTTACTAATATCTATTTTCTTGGCCATAGCTGTCCAACCGCCTGTGAAATAAGGAGATACTTGTCAATTTTGATAATCGAGGAAACTGTTTTGGGAAGGAAGAGGTGGAGTCAAATAAGCTTAAGCTAAAAGAGGATGCGTCTGGCACACACAGAAGCATTCAGAGGACCCCGGCTGCCCCCATGCAGAGAGGTGGTATGGCGTGGATGAGCCATAGTCTTCCTTAGTATGTGACACCGTATGTAGTAACTCTTAAGGGTTTTTACAAATGTCTGACTTGTTGTCACTAAAAAGACAAATTGAACTGTGGCGTAGTGGTTTGAATGAGAAATGTCCCCCATACGCTCAGGCATTTGGGCCCTTGGTCCTCCGTTAGTGGCACTGCTTGGGGGAGAGATGTGACTTTCAGGAGGTAGAGCCTTGCTGGAGGAGGCATGTCACTGGGGTGGGGAGATGTCTTGATAAAATGTGGTCAGCTAGCTCCCATTCCTGCCACCATCCTGCCTGCTGTCATACGCTTCCTGCCATTAGACTCTATATCCCTTTGTAACCATAAGTCAAAACAAACCCCTTCCTCCCTGAGTTGATTTTGGTCATGGTATTTTATCACAGCACAGACAAGTAACTAATACATATAGTTTTACTAGTGTTGTTATATTAAAACACTAGAGGCTGGGTACCTTATAAAGGTAAAAAGTGTCCATGATAACTTAAGAGACTGAAAAGCTGAGATCTGCTTGGTCTCTAGTGAGGAGTCTCTTGGTATTGTCACAGCATGGCATCACGATGAGAGAACGTGAGGGGACAGATCACATGATGAGACAAGAAGAAGGGCAGAGAGACCAACCAGTATTATTCTTTACACAATTCACCCTTTTAAGAATTCTTTCTGCAGAATCAGAACTGATCCCTTCAGGGGAATGTCAGTGACCTGTTGACTGTCCTGGCTCACCTCTTTATGTTCTACCACCCTGTCATTATCAGCACCCTGGGAGACGATCTCCCAGCACAGGAACCTTTGGGGACAATCACACCTAACCTATGCAGAGGTGAAGAACAGAGTGGGAAACCTCTCTGTGTTCAGTAGACTCTGTGCATGGAGGACTCCAGTGAGGGTGTAGAAGAAAGTTGATGGAGAGAATACAAGACCACACAAATCCTTGGAACAATCCCATGCCAAACCTTGTGGAAAGGGGAAACCCGTAGTTTTCTGAGATACATGCCTGCAATTTCTTCTTGCATTCTGAAAAGGTTCAAAACTAGGAAAAGCTGGGCTGCAAAAGGCCGAAGTGTGGAATAGCCTCAAATCCTGGCTGCTATTTGCATGGAAGCTCAACCCGTGTAGAAGGCCGCAACCACACTCTCCACCATAGATGGCGCTGCACCGCCAGGTGAGCTAGAAAGCTCACACGTGTTGGTATTTTTCCACTACTGTCCCCGCCTACTCCCGAGGCATTCACCTGGGATTATGGACAATTGACCAATCCAAGAGTGACACGTCCAAAGCAGGGTCTGTTTCCTATATAAGGGATGGGTTCCATCTTATCTGTGTCTCCGCCATGTGGCTTATGCTCTAGCTCCCAAGAGACATAAAGCTTTTCTGCAGAAGTATCCTATGTGTACCGCGTGGTTCTTGCTGGCGAGACGGTAGCGCGGGACAAACCCGAGACAACACAGCCTGAGCTTTATTATCAACAAAAGAAGGAAGGCCAAGGGCGTGGCTTTTCATTCACTAATGAGGGTTCTTTCTGTAAACTCACGTAAGGATCTCTCTCTCTCTCTCTCTCATCTAATCTATCAGTTTAGATTATTCATTACCTTGTCAAGAAACAAAGATGTGAAAACAAGCAGAAACATCCCTAGTTCTAATACCAAACAACGTATTTTTATTTCCACTAAAAGACTAGTAGGCTAATATTTTATGTAAAGTAACTTATTTTCTACAGAACTGAAAAGGTCCTTCAGTTTCCCACATGGTCATTTTAATTTGGGGGAAGAATACGAAGGAACACATTTATCCATTAGGCAGAGTTTAGTATGACATCATTACTAGACTGAAGATGATTTAGTGAAAAGTCTAGACTACTTGGGGAACTTGGGCATGCTACATCAAAGTTAAGGCAGAAGCTGGGAACTCACATGGGTTAAGGTCAACTACAGAGCAGGCTGTATGATAGAAGTGTGTATGGGTTACTGTTCAGCTGAACTCAAGTGAACCCAGCTGAACAACAGAAACTGCTGGAAGGAAGGCAAAGGCCAAACTTGACCAATAAAGTAAAGATCTATCTTCTTTAAGAAAGTGTACTGTTCAAACGGCCCGTACGGATAACTTCTGTTCAAACTGAAACCCTCTCCAGCTTTGCTGTTTTCTTCAAAGCAAGTGTCCTGAGACACATACATTTTGAGGAGAGCAGCTGAAGGGGATTCACTTCTAATTGGTCTTTAACCATTTTTCGTAATTTACTTAATTTTCACCGTTTTACATTGACTTACCCAAGTCATATAGTAAAACTTGCATATATAAAATCTTTCCAAAAATGTAAAACAAGCCAGAATGGGACAAAACCAACAACAGAAAAAAGAGCCTTTTATTTTATTTTTGTCATTATCATCATCATTATTATTATTTTTAGATCTGGTTGTACTATAATGAAAGAGAAAGAAAGAAAGGGTGTGGATTTGGCAGGGTGGGAAAGTGGGGAGGGTCTTGGAGGAGTTAGAGAAGGGAAAACTAATCATAATATATTATATGAAAAAATGATTGTCAATTAAATTTTCCATTTTCAAAGTAAAAAAAATTCTTTCCAAATAAAAGTCTGTTGCTAAGTATGGTAGCTACACTCATAATTTATGGCCGTAAGTGGTTAAGGAAGGAGAATTGCAAGTTCAAGACCATCCTGGGCTACATAGCAATATTCTGTCTCAAAAACCCAAACAAAGAAATAATAAAACAACAACAACAACAAAGAAACACAGATCAGAAATATCAGTGACTATACAAAATACCCCATCAACGTGCCTGGTAGAGACAGGGTTCGAGGTGTCTTTTCAATGGCAGATTAGCAGTCCTGAAGACACCAGGACTTCCAGCATCCAAAGACACATCTGGGGAGGCTGTTGATTCCATATTCTTATTGCAGTCAATGGAAAAGAGGGGATATGGACACAAAGGCTACAACATGGGATGAGCAGTTTCCTAC